TTGCGGGTGCTGTGGTGCACTTTGCCTATTTCTGTCCTATCAAACGTCTACATCTATCGTCCTTATCTCTCTCCTCTCCCCCTCCCTTCCTTTGTAAGTTACTTTCTAGTAACACATCCAATCTTCGGCATTTATAAAACCTGGGCGCTCATGACCTTATACAGTTGCGAGCGCTGTGAAACTCTTATCAAACTGAAAACATCATATTGTTTTAAAGTTTGCATTTTTCTTATAGAGTCGTCTTGGTTGTCATCCATTCCTCAGTTTCACATAACAACAGGAGACTTAAACATTGCTGTTAAGTCTAGTAATATCCTTTGCATGGTCGCCAGCCTGTATTCGCTTGCGCTCCATGATCCATACATTCATCAGCCGGCTACAATAGGGCTAGTCACAGAAATCGATGTACAGAAAAGTGGAAAGACAAGGAATAACATCAAGAGGCTAGCCCAGAATAGTAGGGAAAAGTGGAAACTGTTCGTTGCCTACACCCTGACACAGGGGGAAAAAGGAAATGATGACGATGACAAAAGGGGTAACTTCCCTACTACCAAAAAATTATAATTATGCAGGCTTGATCAGTGAAGAGACAGCATCTGACGTTAGGAGAGGGTTATTAAGCCATTCACACCAGCCCCGTGGTCGTGATAACACAGTGACTGATAAAAATGGCAGAACGCCCCTTCTCATTCTCACTCACTTCATGACAGTTGAAGTGCTTCACCTCCGACCTTTCGGAAAGGGATCTTGCATCATGGAGTGATTAAGGTGTGTATGAAGAGTGAGTGTTGGCGTTTGTTTTGGGTATTTGGGTGAATGTGAGATAGATAGATAGATAGATAGATAGATAGATAGATAGATAGATAGATAGATAGATAGGTAGGTAGGTAGGTAGGTAGGTAGGTAGGTAGGTAGGTAGGTAGGTAGGTAGGTAGGTAGGTAGGTAGGTAGGTAGATAGGCAGGTAAGTAGGTATGTAGGTAGGTAGGTAGGTAGGTAGGTAGGTAGGATGGATGGATGGATGGAAAGCCAAAAATAGATCGATAAAAGAGAGACAGGGAGAGAAGAAGAAGAAGAAGAAGAAGAAGAAGAAGAAGAAGAAGAAGAAGAAGAAGAACAACAACAACAACAACAACAACAACAACAACAACAGCAGCAGCAGCAGCAGCAACAACAACAACAACAACAACAACAACAACAACAACAACAACAACAACACAACAACAACAACAACAAGAAGAGGATGATGATGATGATGATGGTGATGATGTAAGAAAAGTTAAGAAAAAGCACGATGATGGGGAAAAATATTTCTAAAACGATGACGATGAGAGGGAATTGAAACCTAAATGGGTACGGAACTTCTTCCGTCAGTAACACAAAACGCAGACAATAACCGGAAAGAAACAACAGGCGCAAAGACAAAAGAGATGAAGTACAACCACAGCCAAATGTCAATAAAGACATCAAAAAGCAATTTCTCCAAAATAAAACCCTTGTGCAAACACACAATAAAAAGAGTTGAAAATTCTTTTTAAAAGAATATTAATTTTTTTTAAAATAATTTTTAAGCGATAGCTCAAATGGTCGAGCTGCAACCAACCTTAACAGTAGAACACACTGTTCTAAAGAAGACAAAGCTCAGAAGTACACAACGCACTACATTAAGTACACAATGAACTTATGACACAGCAACGCCTCGGAATACATGTACTGCAATCACACACACAAAAACAACCAAACAAAACAACGTCGATAGAAACACCCCGCACAGAAAAGCACGAGGCGATCCGATTTCATGATCAATAATATTATTATACTTACGTGTATAGGAGCCAAACCTAAGCCCTGTTCAGCCTCGGTCCAAAGCAACCCGGCAATCATAGGCTCAGGACAACACAACAAACAGCGCCTATCGAGGCGGGTTAGATCTAAAAATGAACAGTGGATCACGTGAGGGAAACATGACAAGTCACGTGGCCAAACACAATGGGGCACGTCACACGCTATATTAGCAATCCTTCTTTCAGTGATTTTGTCTACTTACCTTCCAATTTTTAATCTACATATTCATTTCTTGTTTTAAAACAGTGGTGTAATCGATATATTATTATATTTTGTAATAATATTAGTCATATATCGATCTAGTTTACATAACTTGGGACAATCTTACTGAAATATCTTACGTCATAACGTGCCAATGTGAGATATTTTAAAGAAAAAAATTATTATGAGGACGAATATACAATGATTTTTTGAGAGCGATATTATGGTTATGTCTCGATGATGAAGACAACGATGATGACGTTGATGAGATAAAAACACGACAACAAACATAATAATACTTGAGAGTGATCTGACCTGTTTTAGTTTGGTGAAAATTGGCGCACTGTCATTCGGACAAAATATTATAATATTTATTATACTCCGGTACCCTTTTCATGTCACCCAAACCTCTTAAATTCGCTGGGCACGCCTTGTTCAAAACGTCTCAAGGTATTAAGCGGAGATCATACTCGCAGCAGCCAAAGGACTTCTGGTACGTAACAATTTAGGGTAAATCTACAGGTCAAGATGTTATAAGAGAAAATTGTCGTTACAAATTATATCTTACCATCCAACCACATAGATTATTATTAAGCGAGTCCGTTTTACAAAAGAATTAATGAACCATATTATTATACCGTTTAAGTTTTCTAGACTCTTCCATGCCAAGGCATTATCTCCAAGTTCAAATAACTGCCGAACACAATACTTTAACTCAGAATTACAAAGTTGCATGATCTGGCATTTTCGGCCATTTTAAGTTGGTAAAACCATGGGGTCAGAAATCAAATACTCTACCTACCTGCTCTGTATCAAAACAGTAAAGTTATTCAGAATCGTTACGAAGATATTCAAAGAACTGCATTCGAAAATGCTTGGAATATTGTGAAACTTAAAATTTTGACATCACATTTCTCAAAAACCAGGTACAGCAGAGCACATAGAACGTAATTCTGAAGTGGCGATAATAGCCACAAATTGTAAACAAACCTGATGTTTATCGAGTACATTGCCTTGTCCCTGCTGCACAGATCTCATCAATGAACGAGGTAGGTGTGTTTGTTTACATCGGTTATCGATCTATTTATACGTAGAAGCGCGGGCGGCAAGGGGGGCGGTGTCGCACATGCGTAGACGGTCGACAAGAGGTTGACGTGATGAAATACGCTTTGTTGTGTAAACATACGCGGGTACACAGAGACATGCGCGCGCATAAATACACCCACCCCCTCCCCACCCCCTCCCCCTCCAAAGCCCTCTGCACCTTCTCTCAGCGGGTATTGATAAAACCTGATAGTGTTATCATCTCAAGCTCATTGACTACTGACTACCTTTCACCTTCTATTATTTGACCTCCATGCGATTGTGCAGAGTGATGGAAAGTTTTTATAGTTAACCCTCAAAAAGCGTATGTGCCCTGTTATATTTGGCACATTAAATTGAATTAGAGATATCAGAAGATACATGTGGATAACTTAGATGGACAGCCATTCAGTGTTGTCTATCAGACTAAACCTTGCCGTCTAAAAATAGGTTCATTACAAATCTTTCTAAAATAAGAATATTTATTTTTTATCAATGTCCACGTATAATTTCAAATTATATGATTTTTTCAATACTGTAATCAAGTTCGCGTTCTAGAGGGTTAAGTATTATTTCAGTTACATAACGTGTTGACACTTCATGATTTCTCGACTGACCTCGGAGGGGCAGGTATATTGTAATGACGTAGGAGCAGTCAAGATGAATTTAGCCTGCACTGAAGGACAACGACATGCTTACTACGTACAAGAGTACGCCTACATACGTCACAGTGAACCCAGGTACGCTCGCTAAATCTCTCTGACTGATTAGATGAACTGTATAATTTGAATGTACGTGTGAGTGTGAGAAAGAAGGGGTGGGGGGTGTAGGAGTTGGTGATTTTGACACTTCAGGTAAAAGTGGGGTAGGTCACTGGGTTAAACAGTTAGTAGGGCAGTTTGTCTACCTAAAAAAACATAATATATAGACTAGTCTGTCTGCTAGAAAGTAGGCCTACATCTGCTTCAGGTTTTCGTACATGACGAAACAATTTTCTTCCCAAGTGGGGTGATCAATGAACAATATTTTAAAAACGTATTAAGTATTACAACTTTTGAAATGAAATGCTATGGAAGAACTCTAAGACTCCTGGAGACAGAAAATGAAAACCGAAGAAGTACACTAAGAACAATAGGTATAGCGTTCATCAAAATGATGATTCGGCCCGTTCGGAAATCTTTGTCGAATTTTCTTTTTTCACACGACGCCATTCATATCTACTTGGAAGCACTTTTCTGAGCGGGATTTACCACCAAAAAAAAACCCCCCAAAAAAACCCCGTAGATCAAAGACATATAGAATCTAATGATTTTAAATTTTCAGTTTCAAAAGACTCTCGCAAGCCTTGGCTGTCACAGAACTGGCGACAACTTTCTCAATAATTTTTCCTCTGACACCAGAAGCAAGATAAAACGTTGTTGGTTTTTTTTTCACCATAAGCAAGATGCAAGATAAACGGAGAATCTTTAAGAAGATAGCATTAACTCCATATGGTCGAAAATAAAATTCACGAGCGCCTGATTCCACCGCTTCGCGACAAAATAAATAATTCATACATCTCA